TAGGGGGAATCTGTTGTCTTCCAGTGAGTGTGGAAATAACTTTGTTCTGTGGTAGACTCCTTCCGTTTGAGAAAACCAGTGCTCTCTACCACGGTGTTCGGGCCAAGGCAACATCTGTGGCACTTCTGTCTGACAGAGACAACTTCAAGGTTAAAACTGACTATAGATTAGATAACTAGGTTTGAGCTTCAAGGCAAAATCCTGTTTCATGAAGTACTTGAAGGGCAACTTGACCTCTGCAAGCAAGTTTTAAAAAAAAAAAAAAAGATTGGAGCCTGAACATTATCTACCAGTTATATTGTACTGGACTCTACGTTTCCTCTGATCTTGCAACATCACAAGGAGAAGTGTGGGAAGCAAGAAATCCTAGTCGTTATCCATTAGCATAAGAGGACGGAAGGTTTAACTGTTCTGACTGCTCCCTGGATGCTGAAATCAGAACTTAATAACAGTTTGTGGTGCTGATTAATTAGAACAATCAGTCTTACTTGATCCATGACTTAAAAGTTGCTTCAGGTAAGCTAAACACTGACTGTTTAACTTCCTGATTAATATGCATGTGTTTGTATTAACCTGCCCTTGTATGTTGACAGGTGATAAGAATCATAGAGCAATTTAGGATGGAGAGAACTTGTCCAAAGCATGTCCCAAAATGAAGCTGAAACACTGTTGTTTTGCAGTGTTCTTTCTTCAAAATTTGCTGTCCCTGTGGTATATTAAAATACTGAAGATCTAAAATATCAGTGAATTACATTTTCAGTTTATTGTTTAGTATGAAGGTGTGTCTGTCTTCAGGCTTTCTTTTCTCCCTTCGGTTAATGCTTTCAGAATACTAAATGATTGTGGGGTTTGGTTTTTTTTTTAATAAAAGCTTAACTTTCCTTTTTTTCCTGTTATTGAATAGCTGATGCAGGGTTATACATCTAGTCCTGTTTTTAGTTATTGTTGATCTTTTAGAGTGTTTGAGAGATGGCTTTTGTGTTTCACACTCTGGAAGTTAATCTGATATTCACCTGGTGGTACTGTACTGGAGACCCTGATGCATACTTTTCTCTCTGTGCAGTGGGAAACCTACAGTGTGAGCTGCTTGAGTTCTCATCTTTGCTGCCGGGACTGTGTACGCATTTCTATGAAAGGCTTTTTTTTTAATCCAAACTCTGTAAGCAGTATTAAGAACTGAAAATTGTTCCATACCATAAGAATGCCTTTAATTACCAGATTTGTAAAGCTAAAATCCCTCTTGCTTTTTCCGCAGTCTCATGTACATTGGGGGTTTTTTTTTGGCTTCATGACAATAGGAGGAAGGATACATGCCGTCATCTACCGTAATACTTATCTGAAAGTAAAAGATGGGGTTTGAGGCCCTTCAAGCAAAAAAAAGGCTAGAACCCTGCTCTCCTGCTTCAGAGGTAGATGCTCTGAGCTACTCATGTAGTCTCCTCCTTGTTCCTGGGTCTAGTATTCAAACCCAAAGGACAGAATTAGGTACTAAAATTCCTGAGAAGGACTTTGAGCTGTGACGTTCCCCATCCTCACCCAGCCTGACTGAAGAGCTTGAACACGAGAGATGCGTTTGCAGGTGCATCTGCCTTGGGGGTCGGGGGGGGGGCCGTTGGGCACACTGACACTCAGTGGCTGTCCTTTTGCTGCACTGGGTAGGGAGCTCTGGTGCTGCAGGTTTTATGAAATCCATTCGTGGAGCCAGGAAAGAGTGTAGCAATGTCTAGTGTGCCTGTAAGGAAGTTTTCCTCTTGGTCTGTCTTGGTACCAGAGGATGTAACCCTACAGAGTCGCTTCCAGTCAATGTCATTCATTGCTGTCTTAAATACTGCTTTCTAAAGCTTTCCTGTCTGTTCTGGAAGTTAAAGTGGTATCAACTGGAGTTTGGTTTCAAGCTTGAAACCATGCTGCTCAGTTATCTGTTCTGACACTGCTACTCTAAATAATACTCTTCAAAGTGCTCAGACAGCAGTGTATTTGTTTTGATGTGAAGGTAAGAACTCATATCCCCATCTGCTTTTGCATTTCTGCAAGTGTAATATTTGAGGAGTGATGGCATGTGGAAGAAAGCATTAGAACTCAGGCAGGGCTAGTATCTGATCTTTTTTCCTGCAGGTTTTCTTGGCATGTTTATCCTTAAAAGTATATTTTGACAGAGCACAGCAGTTATTGTGCAGCTGACAGTGGATTACAATATTGTTTGTTTAGGATTCAGAAGTCTAGTATTAGATTGCTTCTTGTCAGCAAAGTGCAGGATATACCACATGGTGTTTGCACATGGAAACAGTATGACCCCAGCCCTAGCAGTGGAATTCAGATAAAGTGATACCGTTCTCTAGCTTTTTATTTCTCCAGTAAAAGGCATGAGATTGTATGAGTATAGCTTTATGCTGTAGTTGAATGTGCCTTACCTTTGTGAAAGCAAAGATTTCAGAAATAGCTTGGTGGTATTATACTCTATCTATGGATACACCTAGTATTAAAGCACTACTAAAGCAAGAAAATGTATTGCCAGTATTGAAAGCTCTCAAGTTTGGTTAGTTCAGCCTAAATGTTTCAGCTTCTTATATCTAGGATCCCAGTGAGCTTTTGTAAGTGGAAGGACTGCAAATAGTTGAACAAGCAGGACTTAAGCTCCAAAGTAATTTTTAATTAAAGGCTTTCTCTTCTGTGGACTACTCCCACATAGAGGGTTGGAAACTCGTAAGTTTCCATGCATAGAATTTTTCTTTATTCCCTTGGGAGGACAACAGATTTGGCCACCTACAAAGGATGCAGATATTGCAGTGAAAGCAAACTGCTTCCTCTCCAAGCATGAAAATAAGAGCTGAAAGTTTTGACTGTACTTTTCTTTTTGCAATCCAGGTGCAACATGATTTCATTTTACAGAGAAAGCCAAACTACTACTATCTACCATTGCCTATGCTGGTTGCATGCACACAGATGAATTCTCAGGCAAAGATAGTAGCTGTTCCAGGTTAAAGTTTAGGCTGGTCAGTATGTCAAGGAGGGACTTGCACTAAAATTGTGGTGAAAACACACTTAAAGTGACCTTAATGTGGTCTTTAGGTCAGGGGACTAGATTTCTTCTATTGAGAGCAGGTTTAATCCTTTCTTTTCAAAATGTTGCTGAACTATATAGCTTCTAAAAGCAAAAAGAGGAACCCAAAACTTTGTATGGAACATTGCAAAGAGCTTGTTTTTCTTTTATCTGTATGTAGCTGTCATGGTCCATTTGAATCCCTCAAATCTATAGGACAACATAACTCTGTAAATTAAGCTTTATTTTATGATCTCATTAGGAAAGAAAACAAACAAACATGATAAACAAGGGCTCAATCCCCTTTGCACAGACTAGTCTAACATGTGAATTCACTAGTTCATCACTTAACTTGTGAGGTTTCTAACTCACAAGTTCTCAAATCCATAACTCGCAACTCGTAACTTGTAACTCGTGCACCTGTGAGCAAAACAGTTACCTAGCTGATGGTGAGAGTGCTCCTCCTTTCTCCTCCATTATGGTGCAGGCGTCCCATATATCACACCAGGAAGCACGAAAGCCTCAGCAGTCCAGCTGCTGTTGGATCCGCTTCAAAAGCTTTTTGGGTGACCTGACGCATTTATACCTTCCAGCTTGGAAGTTTGGTCTATACTGTTTCCACAAGTTAGCAGATTCTGAAGAAACTACCAGACAAGCAGTATGCATGGATTATGGCTGCAGAAGACAGCAAGCTGCAGATGATAATGACTGCATAATGACCTTTAGCTCTTTCTGGTCACTGTGTCCTGCCTACGTGTTGCCCTTGCTTTGACCTAATGGTGCTGCTCCCAGCATACATCAGGCCTTAGCGCGAGCTGTGTGTTAGCCAAAATCTGAGCAGGAGTTGAACAGTCACACTCGCTTGTAGACAGTGGGAGCTGAAAGTCCCTTCTAGGGGCTCAGGGACAGTCTGGGATCTTCCCATTCCCAGTGGAAGGCTGCTGCTTTGCAATCCTGCCTTTTCTAGCGCCTCCTTTTGAGATGTGCAACTGCATCTCTACAGAACGTGGCTGTTTCTGACTAGTAATACCCTTCAAGGGACTTCAACATGGGGTACCTTTATGTGCACAACTTACTACTTATGCAAGAATGATAAAGGCTTGAGCAAACCAGTTCTCCTGGTTTTGAATGAATATTGAGAAGCAGAATAATGAAATGCAAAGTGCCATTGCAAATTCTGTTACAATGCCTAATTTGCCATACTTGGTTTCTAGCAGATAACCATTAAATTATTGTAACCATCCTAATATATTCCCCATATAGTATACAATAGACTTTAGTATAAGTTAATCATAACAATTGCATGTGTTGTCTGTACATCTATCAAGCTGCAGGATATGCTTTCAATTATTATATTGCCTTGTTCTGCTCTTGTGGAGGTTGCTCAGCTCTGTCAATGCCAATGGCCGCACTGTTTCCACAGCGGAAGAAAGGAAGAAGGAGAAGGGAGAAGATCATGAAGACTTAAATCAATGTTGGTTTCAGAATCCTGTTGTTTGCATGTTGGACTTTGTTACAGTGCAATCATTTTGTGAGGAAGGATGGTGACACTAGAAGCTGTTCCTGTAACTGAGATGAGGAGGAGAGAAGAAAGCAGGAGGAGGAGGGTTCTTTAGGTGACTAAATTGCCAGGGGTTCCTTGGAAAACTTGAAGTTCACTCATAATTAACACAAAGATTGTTTGCCCTTAGAATGAAAACATGCAGTGAAAACCTTAAGAAAAAAACCCCAGATGATGGGGATCTTGGCAAATGAGATCAAAATTTTGAGTCACTGGAGTACATCTGTTTTGGGCCACTCCATTTGAGGTGCTTGAAGTGATTGAAGTTGCAGAGCCTGAGGCCTCGGCACTTTCTGGAAATTAAGGCCGCTTGAACATATGAAACACATAGAAACATGTGCTATGTGAATAATTTTAAATTAGTTGCTATTGAAACTATAGGCCTTTATTGTCACCTCTTCAGTAACACATATGTCCCAAGGACTTGCACGGTTCTGGGTTTTTTTGGGGGAGGGGGGGATGGGGGGTGGTGGTGGTGGTGGTTTTGGTTGTGTGGTTTTTGGGTTTTTTTTCCCCAAGCTGGCTTGCATTACATGCATATGATGTAGAATTCTATTGTACTCTGTTTTGCACAGAAAACCAAGAAAACTTGATGTACAACTGTGCTAAAGATGTCCAAACCACACAGAATGTTGAACTGTTCCCCGAGATTGCTAATGCCTAATACCTTCTTTAGAGGAATGGATACCTTCTCTTTGATAAAGATGCTTAGAAGCACATGGGCAATTTGGACATTGATGTTTAATGTGGCTTTTCAATTTGCTCATTAAAAAAAAAAAGACTTTAATTCTCTTTTCCGATATCTTATACTTACATAATTGGGTTTTTTACTTTAAATGTCATGGTTTGGATGTCTGGACTCGTTAATGCTTTATATTTTGGATAATTTTAGGTTTTTATTTGCTCACTAGCTTACAGTTAGCAGAAACTTTCCGTGGGCACTCCCCCTTGAGTTCTTTCCAGGATTTAGATTCCTTGCTAGGTAATTGTGCTTAATAAGCCATTCTGGCCGCCTAGTGTTACCTGGTATTGTACACTTCCATAGCTGCATATCAATAAAGATTAGAAATCCCAGCAACCACTTCTCATTTAAAAGAAATCTGGCCAGGCTCTTTTTGTTAAGATCTGTTGCAAAGTTCTAAATCCTTAACCCTGTTTGTTAACTCATTCACTGCAGCTAATGGCTCTCCAGATGACACAGTCTGTCCTCTATGTTTCTGTGGAGAGGAGGAGTCCACAGAAATGGATAATTCTTTTTTTAAGTTTGGTAAGAAGGAGCAGTGGAAACTAAAAATGTCCTAATTGGATCTCTGATTTTTTTCTTCTGTTTCAAGAAAGAAATGCAAGCTGGACTTTGTACTTCATAAGCAGTATGATGGTAGCCCAGAGAGTACATGAGGACCTGAGCTCTTCACACAGCATTACTGAGCACCTGAGTTGGACTGTGTGTTCCTCAGTACCAGTGCCTGGCATCCCAGACATCTTATAATTAAGTTCAGAGACATATGGTAAAGATCCACCATGATAGCAGGAATGGTGTTAAAATTCCTTATGGAGGGACAAGAGTACTCCCCAAAGGCTTGATTAAGTCGCCAATCTTCTGGATGCTTTCCAGGAGCTCTTTAAGCAGGTCACTGTTTGTTTTGGTCTCCCTAAAAGGCCCTGAAAGGAAGGTATGCTCTGCCCAAGGTGTGCAGGGCACATGGAGATGAGTAGCATAAGATCAATTAGCATGAAAATCAGTAGAGTCACAACATGCCACCCATTCATCCATTGTGTTTTGGTAGGCCCTGTACAGAAGTAGGTTAAGGGAGAATTTGAAGGAGGATAATGAGGAGGTTTAACCAGCAACTCAGTGGAGTTTCTCTTCTGTGCACGTGTCTGAGGTGACTTTCACAAATGAACCATCAAGTGGTACCGTTCACTTGGAAAAATATATGAGAAATAAGGGTGGAGATGAGTGTGGCAGGACTTCCTGAATGAAAATAAGTGGATCGCATATGATGTGCTAGAGAAAGGGGAGGGCTTTTTTTGCACACTCTGCTTTTGGCAAGTCTGCTGACTCCAGAAAACTGTCCTGACATCATCATTCTGGGCAAATGGACAAGATGGGATTGCTGAGGGTGCAGTGAGGAGGAAGATATAGTCATTAAGACTTGAGCTGAAAGCCTGTAACTGCATGGTCAGTAATGAAAGGCTGTATCTCAGAAGGTACAAAATGTAGACAGTGTCTGAAAACATGGGGGGGAATCGGTAAGTGGAAAGTGGTGCTGGCTTAAAAATTGTTGCAACAGAGAAAGAAGATAGGAACAGGAAAATGAAAAACTTTTTTTCTTGCTATATTGAATTTGACCTAACATCCATTTTCCATTGGTATTGCAGACTGTGACCTTTGTTTACTTGCTGTCAATTTTTTGGCATAGAATCCTGTTTTTCCCGAAGAGCTCTTTGCTGGGTCAATCTATCAATGCCATACATGATCTTTGTAAGACTGCTTCCCAAGGGGAAGCGTGTTTATAGTGATGTTACTCATCTCTATGCTTCTTGCCCCTCCCAGTGAGTTTTGGATCTCTTAGGTGAGTTTTAGCCAAACTTAAGAGAATTAGTAGTTTAGAAAGTATGAAGTTTGTAACAGTTCTCCTAAAATTATTAGTTGAATAGAGGTACCTAAGTATAATCACCTCCTGAAGTGGTATTGCAGTTCCACATCCATTTTGAGGCAGTGTGGCCAGTTGGCCAAAGCAGTGTAGTCTTAGCTTGGAGCTGGCTGTAGCACCACCACAGCACTGAAAGCAGGACTATGGAAATTAAGTAATGCAATTAGAGTATTTTAGTCCACAAGCTATTGCTGTGCATTATGATCACCTCAGATTTTGCTCTAATAAATAAAATTACCCAAGCTCACAGTTGTCTAAAGAGGGGAGGCACTTCAATGATCCAGCTGAGTCCTCTGAACAGCATAGAAGAAGCAAAGAAGTTCTTTTGTGCCTGGGGAAACATGGAAGTAAGCATAGCCAAGTGTAAATTTTAGAAAGGGATGGATTCTCCCCCACTCGTTTTTCTTATTTGCTTTAACTGTTTAAAGACTCCTTGTAGAAATATGTTCTGTTCTGTCCTGCAGACTCTTCTAGATTGCCAGGAGAGTGACTTGAATTTTCTTAGATAATGTTTAATGAATAATGTAGCTGCTCTCTGAATAAAGTTTTGAGATTATAATTTTTTACAACCGTTATGTTGAAAGTGCCTCACCTTATTTCTGTTTCAGGAATTGCATTTAATTAGTGAGAGTTCTTTTCAGTAGTCACGTAGTACCATGGCATTAAACCATATACCTAACTGACTTTTAAAACTTCAGCTAATTCAGATTTAAATAGATAATTTAAATTGTAAGATCTTTTTATTTCCTGAATCTTCCAGTGCAAGCATGGAAGTGGAGAAATGGGCTTATTTGCATGCAACTTTCCCAAAAATGTAGTGGAAGAGGGTGCTGTGTTTTGGGCTATATATTGAAAAATGGGAAGTATAATAAGGTTTTTGTATGTTTTTTCTGAGCTTTATGAAGTTTGCCCTCAGTTTGCATTTGGAGTCCAAGTCAAGTGACAAAGCACAGCAAATATTGCATATGGGCTTGACTGAAGTGTAAAGAACAGATTCAGCTCTACAAAACCAAGAGTTAAGCCAGTTCTTGCCAAAACAGAGCAGATGACCTCATTGCCATTAGTGTAAATATCGGCAATTGCACACAAATGTCTTCAATCAATCCTTCAGCTGGCTCTAAGTGTTTGCAGACAATCCGTAAGGGGAGAGGGAAATGTTGAACGGGTGGGGCTGTGTCTTCCTTGAAACCAGCTGAATGACCTATTTTCTCTCCTTTGAAGCTAGGGCATCTAGAGGTGTAAGGCAACTTTGAAGCAAGCTGCATGTATTGTAGCTTTCATTTAAATATTTCTCCTACAATGAAATAGCTTGCTTATTCCTCTGCTCTTTGTTTTGTTTTCTTTCACTCCCACACAGTATTTAGACCATATTAGAGATGTATAAATATGACTTCCCTTAATGTTGCTGCTGTTAATAAAGTTGTGGTTGCTATTTTGTTCAAATGCTCTATGTGTTTGATACTAATGAAGAACAAATACTTACAGGGCTTTGGAAGACATTACAGTGTAGTAAATGTATGTCTGTTGACTTGAGATGATCAATCACGAGATGTTTGTTTAATGCATATGACTTTCTGGAGCTGTTTGTCACAGAATTTATATGCAGTGCAGTCTCCTTTCCTAACATATCTGGAAGATGAAAACTGGTCATCTGCCACTGAATAAAATGCATCCTAGCTGCTAACTGTCTTAACCTCTGCTGTGCTGCTACCAACTATCCAACCCTTGCTAGAACAGTGGTGAAGCAGTGAGGCTTTCTGGGATGGGTCCGTTTAGTCCTGCCTCTCTAGTAGGATTGTGTTGTTTCATACCGATAAACTTGTTAGTAGCTGGAATACAGACCGAGGAAAAAGAGTGCTTTGTGTAAAACCACCTGCAGATGATACTTCAGTCCTAATCCTGAAACAGATTCAAGGTTGGGATTTAGTGATTAAGCCTGCTTGAACTGGATTTAGACTTGTATCAAAATAAATCCTATCTCAAGAGCTGAAATTAAGCACTGCATCAGATATTGTTTTGATTTGCTGGTACATATCCTAAATATAATGCTCTTAAGTTTTAAACTGCTGCTTTGAAATTGTCTGACTGAAATCTAGTTATTGGAAGCAAAGATCCTTGGGACTCTCACTTGAGTGCTGTCACCATCTCCAAAAAGGCCTTGGGTTTTTGTACTTCAAGTCCGTGTGGAGTTCAGATGCTTCTTATATCTAATCTTGGGGAAAGGAGAATATTAATTTCAGAGTTGTTGTTCCTGTTGAATTAATTCAAGTGTGAGAGTGTGAAACTTACTGTTAAAAATGCAAGGTTAAGTTCTTAACAGTGACCAAATAAAAAGAAACTTTAATAAGCCATCTGTTTCATTAGCTCACCTGCTGGTTTGGTTTTCTTTCAAATGTTTTGTGGTGATTTGAAAATGTTATGGAACACAGTTGGGCCAAGCCTTGTGGCTTCAAAATTGTGAGTCAAGATACAAGGTGTTACAGGCAGTGATGGGTTCTGAAAGAATTGACACTCCAGCCATCAATTTGTATTCTTGAGGGAGGGTTGGAATTTTGTTTTCTGTGAAGGCATGTGAATTTTAGACACAATCTGTGATCATGAAGCTTTCTAGCTACCTCATCTCCTGTACTGCAGCTCCCTAGCTGGCGAGTCCTGTTTTGTGCTGCAGTTAAATCATTGCTAAATAGTATCTTGGGTTTCTTCTGTTTGTTACCTGTAATCATGAGCCAGCTTAATGAAGCTAATTGATGACAGTGGAGGAAGAGC